AACAGTCTGTACGACATACTCACTTGATAATGACCGTATAAATAGGTCGAAAATTCGTGTTTTAATAAATATTTTTATTAATAAACTCTTAATCATGTTAAACAAAGTTAAGGGTGTTTCAGTCGCAATTGCACTAAACTTCTTATATGAAGAAATTCTTGTCTCATTAGTTCTTGTACTAGGATCTCTTCTGTTCTTCTATATATATATATGCGTGAATTGCAACGGCATTGTACCGTACCGTTAGAAAAAAATTCCAAAAATTCAAGTGAAATAGAAAAAAATTCCGAGACATACATTCGATAGAGGAATGTGAATTGTCTATGAATATAATATTTTCCCTTCACTTAGTGCATTGGCGACCGTGTATCAGGAGGTTTACTAGAGTTACAGAAGAAAACGTTATTTCTTAAATGAAAAGTACAAGTGTCATATACCGTTCGAAAGAACACGTCAATGCGCATCGAGTGGCGCATGTGCTAATGTAGTGCGGCACATGTGCAGGCACTGATGGTAGTTAGGCTCGTTATGTTTTTCCCCTATACAATAGACCCAGAAAGGATGAATAGTGATGTAATAAGAAAATTCTAAGGTGATTCTATTTCAACACTTTTTACTGCTCTCGTGTTGGTTTCTGTTCACGGACTCTTGGTAGAATGCGATCCGGTGATAGAACTATAGTTCATTATTATTGATATTATTATCTTGTTAAATGTTTTGCAGGTTGCTGTTGTCTGAATAGCTTTTGACAGAAGAAAGCTAGAGGCTTCCAGTTTTCAGTAATCGAAAGTAGACATCTGAGGCTAGATTTCCACAAGCAAACATGGCTTCTGAAAAAATTCTGAAATCAGTTTTTGAGCAAGTGTATCTCCCGAACGCTTATTCATGCACATTCTCGTCTACTGAAAGGGTATATCTACACAGTATAACAAACAAAACGTCCGTAGGAACAACATGTATCAGTTGAAGCGTTAGTAGAGAAGTGGCTAGTACAAAGTTTGCTTGTTGTGCGTTTTTCAAATGAAGTGTGTTACTGAAAACTTGACTTGGCTCCAGCTATAGTCAAGGCCATAGCTGCAAGACAGAGTAAAAAACTAATTCCTTAATATAGGCGTCAAACTTTAGACTGGAACAATACTTCAGTATAGTTACAATACAAATACGTACTAAAAATAGGCGAAGAGTAGATAAATGTATGTGACTGTATACATTCAGATAACAGAAAATACATTATTTATACAAATATGAGATGATGAGAAAGTCGATCGGATGTGATCCAACCAAATACGTGAGAATATCAAGATGTACTCCGTTTTACTTGCTCTATATATTTTTTATTTGAGAATAGCAAAAAGCATTCTGTACTTCGAAAGATTTCTAGAAAACCTTTTGAAAAACCACAGTATTTTAGGTTGACTTGTAGAGCTTTTATTGAGCTGCATCGTATCAAGCAGGTAAAATAAAGTACATCTTGATATTCTGACGTAATTTGGTTGGACCTTGACTGGGTTATGAATTTTTTAATTTTACTGCAAAAATGGGTTATTTCACCTAATGTACGTTTGCACTAGATTTTTGACACTTTTTTTTGAAAATAAATGTTGCCACGAGATTCAGCGTGATCAATTACCTATATTTCCATTTATTTTCGGAATTACCACATCTAAAGAAATATTGATCCTGGGACTCTCATGCAATCCGATGCCACGTCTAAGCCACAAAAAATTGGGTGAGTCTATTGGCACTCCCAGGGAGTGTCAACAAGGTCAACGCTGATTTGTAAACTTTGCAACCGTATAATTCCTAACACACAGCGGTTTCTTTGAAAAACAAAACAGGTATCATTTTTCGGAAAACCGAATATACGTGCACTATTTGAACTTACGCCGGTGACACTGTTTTTTCATTTAACCATGCGGTTGCAAAGTTTACAAATCAGCGTTGAACTTGTTGACACTCTCTGGGAGTGCCAATAGCTCCTTCTTGGCACTCTCAATTTGGTTGGATCACATCCGATCGACTTTCTCATCATCTCATATTTGTATAAATAATGTATTTTCTGTTATCTGAATGTATACAGTCACATACATTTATCTACTCTTCGCCTATTTTTAGTACGTATTTGTATTGTAACTATACTGAAGTATTGTTCCAGTCTAAAGTTTGACGCCTATATTAAGGAATTAGTTTTTTACTCTGTCTTGCAGCTATGGCCTTAACTATAGCTGAAGCCAAGAAAATTCGAAAATTTTAACGCATTTTTACTCTGCAAAAATAAACAGGAAACGCTAGCTTTTGGTTTTTTATAGCAGAAGCGTTTTCTTTTGCGTTATACTGCGTGTGTTTTTCAATAAAATTTTTGCAAAAATCTTTTTGGTTAAACAATGCAAAAAAACGATGACTCATCAATAAGTAATCGTAACTATTGTATAATTCGGCAGAATATGCGCAGTGGTATATTGATGTAAATGGTCATTTTCCACTGAAAATTTACTTAAAGATTTCTCTGAATGACTCCATTTAGCTTTGAGAAGACAACTTCCTATATAAGAACAACAAGGAAACAATTTCCTATATATAAAAATGCAGAAGAAATATGTTATTTTTATGACTACGACGACGGTATATAATACAGAAAAATTGTTGTAAGAAAAATGGTTTTTAAAATCTATGTCAAACATTTCTCCCTCTCATTAGAAAAGTAAGCATTTTTGCCGCGCTGCATCAAATTAGTTGAAACTAAGGCGATCATCGTCTTAGTTTCAATGGTGACAAAGTTTGTCACCATTATTACCTTGCAACGTTTGTCTCTCATCTTCTTCTCCCATACTGAATGGAAGTTGAAACTGAAAGATATCTGAGAGCCAATTTATTTAGTTATGGTACAGCTTAATTCAATAAAAAAAATTTACAAGGTTTTTTACGAGATATTACATCAACAATAAGAGACACATCTAACAAGCATATCAAGTGTATTTTATAGTTAGTAAAAAAGATAAACAGCGTATGACGTTTTGTTCATATCAGTTGCTACTCAGCACCAAAAATGAGTCCACCAGCCGCTAGTGCACCCAAAACGCTTGAAATTATTAACAGTACAAGCGCTGTTATTATCAAGGCAAGACTATAGCTAATTTCATTGCTTGGCGGATCACCAGTACCAGCGGTCTGTCGTACCGCTGGATTCGAAGCCAACTCTGCAATAAGCGATGGAAAATATCGAACAATGGCGGCAAGAATAAATATCGATGCTGCTACGAGAAAAATAATTGGTAAAATGCTGAAAAGTCGGGGTAGCTTCTGGATGACTAACACTACCAGTAACGTAAGTACCGATACTAATGTCAATATGAGACCGACGATCGCAAGAGCAGCTGGAGTGACAATAGTTTTCTCAATGCACCGTCCATCAACGCCTGATGTTGCGCAGTATTTGAATAAACCGAATTCCGCCGATGGGTCACCATTTGATACTATCCATGAAGGCGTAGCAACACCCACGATGACGAATATTAATGCCAAGATAGTAAGCACCAATGCAGGGATGAGAAGTGTTCTTGAACGTTGCATTTGTCTTTTGTAAAAACGAGTTCCTTTAATAAAGTTTTCTTTTATTTCTTCGTTGCTTCATTTAATATTTATATACTTCTAGTTGAGCAAATAAAGATCTATGCCAGTTTTTGAAAAACTATCGTCGTCAAACATACTGTAGAGAATAGAAATACAACAAGAACACTCAATATATGGTGATTATATTTCTCAGTGCAGTGCGTGCCACATATGAATGATAAATAGTAGTATTATAAATATTACCTATATAATATTATAATAGTATAATGTTATAATATTATAAATATTACTTTTCAAGGAGAAGAAAACAATCAAAAAAACTGAAAATTTACTATTACTTTTAATAAGAATGAAAGAACACCTAAAATGCAGATTTCATACTTTGAAAACCAAACGTAAAATGATTCATTCTAACGTAAGATATTTACTAATTTCAGTATTTTCATAACATTGATTGATGTAGCACATATGTTATATATTTTATTTTCATGAAGATAGGATAGTTCAACAAAAGTTTATATTCAGCATTAAGTCTTAGCGATCCCTCTCCATCGCTTTCAAATTGAATCAGATAATTTTGCGATTTATTTCAGGAGTTGAGATCAACATTGTAAATAGTGAAAAATTAAATAATTCGTGTAAATCTAAAAAACGTTCCTCATCCTCTACGTCGAAAACGTTCGTTTAAGCTTTCACCAATCGATGTTAAAACTCGTCGCAGACATTCTTTTAATGCATCCAACACGACTACTGTATCGTCAAAGACACAAAGTACTCATCCATAATATTTTTTATATTAGTGATTAATATTATATACAATAACGTTTTACTATTATAAAAGGGTAATTTAAGAGTGGGATCTTCATTCAGATTAGATTCAAACTTTGCCAAATTGTAGAAGACACTTCAAAATATGTATGAAAACATTTTGGAGTTTTACAGACTTGTAGCCTTCGAGAAAGAAAATTTTTAAAATTTTTTTCTACCTTTTTTGCCCATTTTTTAAAATTTTAATAAACTTTAGAAATTATTTTTTACTTTTCAGCTTGAAACCTCGGTTTTATAACCAATCCATAGGGCGCCTCGAGATGTATATGTGAAAAGATTTTCGTCGTTCCGCGACAAGGTTTGACGGAGAAATTCAGATTTGACCTTCAGAATGTTTCTTTGGGGCCAAAAGTGTGTTTTTTCGAGATCTTGTCTGTAGTTTCTCTGCGGGGAAGCATTTTGGAGCGAAAATATGAGTGTAGAAGTTTTTTATCATGTTGCTTTCTATAGGACAATACTTTTCTGTCGCTAAATTTCTTCAGGTCAATCTTTAATATTGAAAATACTGAGATGCTGCACTGAGGAGAAAAGGCGCTCAAATTTTTACGCTACTTTCTCGTTTTTTTCTGAGCCAGAAGATAGTTTTCAGAAACTCTTCAACTCATAGAACATAGACACTTTCACGTACGGAGTGAATGGAAATGTCAAAAATCGAAAAAAGTAAAGATTTTCAGGCAGATTTTTCAGAGTCTCGGAGCGTAAAATCGTCCAGGATCTTGCACAGAGTTTCGCTTCAGAAGAGCGTTATGGAACAAAAGTGTAGGAAGGAAGATTGTTCAGCATCAAGTTCTGCGTGAAGCAACCGAAGAAAATTTTTGAAATTCATAAAACTCAATTTTTAAATTAAGCTTTACGAGAATTTAAACTTAGAAACTATTATTTTGGCTTTCAAATATTTCTTCGGTTGTTTCACGCAGAATTTAATGCTGAACAATTTTTGATCCCGTACTTTTGTTCCATAATGCTTTCTTAAAACGCAACGCTGTTCAACGCTTTCTCAAAAATACTTTTTACACTAGAAATGGTATGGGCAAGTCAAAGTCAGGTTTCTTCCTCAGACTTCACCTGATAACGATAAAAATTGTTTTCTATATAGATCTCAACGTGCTCTTTCTAATGATGAAAAATTCAAGGTTCCATCTCAAAAAATGAAATATTTATGGAAATTTTAAAAATTGGGCGAAAAAATTGGGTCTATGCGAAACTAAAAGAAAAATTTCTCAAAAACTACGAATCTCGAAACGTTGACCAGTTCTCGTTCGATTACTAAAGTTAAATAATGTCAAGCTTGATTAATACCAGGATGTGTGACCGCCTTCGAATATCAAGTGTCGTAAGCTTTTCATTTTCCATTCTTTCGTTAACGGGATCAATGATTTTGGAAATCAGCGTTATTTTCAATAGTGAGTTCATCATATACGAACTCTGTGACCAAATTTTGCTTTTTCATGGATGATTCACACGAGTTCTTGGTCGAATTTCTTTCAAGATGAGCCAATGCTATTAAAAATGGTTTTCAAAACAAATGTGAAATGTGTCATAGGCATCTTATTTTCAACAGCATGCGAAAAAAGTTATTCCATGTACGGAGGATGCATACAGATAACATAAGGTGAGCTCGTTTTCTCATTCAGAAGGAACTCAAATTATTATTATTATAAAGAGGTAATTCGAGACCTTCAGTGTCCACAGTCGTAATGAAGAACAGCTTATATTAGAATTTATTAAAGAGATAGATATCTTGAACTTGAAAACTCATAAATAAATAGGTAATTTGAGATATTCTTACGCTTATATTACACACATAGTAAAGAGGTAAGACTTCGCACTGCATCAAAAATATTTCAGAAATATATCAAACTCATTTAAAAAGTAAAATAGCTGATACGTGCTGTATTAAACACGTGCTGTGTTAAACACGTGCTGTGTTAAACACGTGCTGTATGAAACACTTGCTATATTAAGATATTAGAGTGAGATTATATACATATGGAAAGAACGCAAATAATTCGACCAAGTCTACTATAGTTTTATAGACAGAAGGTTAATTTTTGTACTTAACCCTCATCCGCCCACCTATAGGACTATCACTTGTTGCCCATCTGGGGTCCGTCCGGACCCCAAGTTGATAAAACAGGTTTAAAAATCACTGTTAAGACATGGAACATTTTTAATAACATAT